TGGATCGAGACAGTTGAAGCCAAAGATGCAGAGGCAACAAAGCGGTGAGGCCGCAGAGGAGCTGCACAGTAGATAGGCGGCAAAAGGACAATGGTTGTTTGATAAGGAAAGCTCCAAGGTACAGAGCTAATGAGTATTCGTGAAAGAGTCAGAGGCGTTCAAGTCAAAGGGCAAAAAATAGCTGCGAGATCGGCTAGTAGAAAGATAGGTAGGAAGCAGCTTGATCCAAGGAACGTAATGGCTGTCAACTATGGGGAGGGAAGAGTCGACAGTTCAGGCAGGCAGTAGTAGGCGTAGGAGGAGCGTGACCCAGCGATAACAGATGTTTGGAGATAAAGCTCAGGCAAAAGTCAGGTAATGTGACTGGGGGGGAAGTCTTAGGTAAGGCGGTCAGAAGGGCGGCATCGGAATGGGAGATGATTAGGACCAATCAAGGCAGATGATGCAGCGATAAGCAGGAGGCAATGAAGCTGGCTGGGGCACTTGCTTGGGTACCCTTAGGTTCACTTAGGTAACAACAGCAGCACGCCCGTGGACACAACTGCCTTATTGTTAGGGACCGAGTAAGTAGATGAGTGCTTGTGATGACAATGATACAAATGATGCAATCTGACAAAAGAAAGGACGGAAATGATGAAGAAGATGAGCAATCGAGATGACTCGGGGATGATGATGGGACGAATGACAAGAAGCGGCTAAACCGCTTAAGGTAAAATAGCTCCCTACCTGGATCCCCACCATGGAGATCCATGATCGACAATGGCCTGAGGCCGGAATGGCTCCTTGTCGAATCTTACAATTTCCATGATTGCGTCGCCCTTGATATCGAGTCAGGTAAATTTAGATTCATGGGTGCTACATGTACCTTACAGTGTAATTGCTCTAGCTCTAGGTAGAGAGGTCATTCCTACCTGTACATCTTTCGCAGGTATCATCTGTCATGGTCTTAGGTGACTCGATTTCCCGAAGTACCCTCACAAGTATGACTCAGTCAAATGATACTTCAAGACTGCGGTACCTAATTCAGGGCACTTGAAGGCACTGGAACAGGTAGTAAATCAAGTGACTCAGTAAACTTACAGGTTCATGCGTGATTACGCAACTGTTCATCTGCTATTTTAATTTAAAGTTACTGAAGTAACTGACAGCTTTAAGTACCTCATACTTGGTTGTGATGCACCCACTGCATCATTGGAATGGATGGCAGACTTCGCTCAACTCTGGTTCTCTGTTGGTGTATGATTCTAGACTTGTCCGTTCGGAGTAGAAACATCTCTCTAAAGTAGATTGAGAAAAAGGAAAACGCTGTCTATTGCGCCTCGTCTAAGCGCTTCAAAATCATGGGTCATGCATTATGCCTAATGACATTAATAGAGGAAAATTCATATTCATCAGTAGTTTCATATCCAGTGGTCTTGTAGCTCATTTCAAGTACTGGATTGCTTTGTGCTCTCTTCCAGCAAGCCAAATTGCTGACAACGGAAATCGAGAGGACGATACAATACGCGAACGTTCAGACCTGTAACTCATTCTTCCGGAGGAATCGCTTAAGATCAGATGAGATTCAGGTAATCAATCATAAACCGAGCCCTCTGACCAGCAACCAGAGTATAATCGGCACAACGACATTATCATTGCATCCAGTGAGAATCGCTTCGGTAGCACTGGTCGCACCAGCAGCCAGAATGGCTTTGAGAACCGTAACCGGCGAAAAATACTGCCCTGGCTCATCCAATCTGTTCGTGGGCCATTGTCCTACCGCGAGCCAGATGCTCCCGAACAAAAGCCCACAGAAGACTGCGATGACAAAGGCCACGCTGCCCTCGATGGATTTTCCACCTCCCCAGAACCACTTGCGCCGGCCGAATCGCCGGCCGATCAATGAGGCGGCTGCGTCTCCCATGCCGACGCAGATTACACCACTGACCATACTGACTTCCCTTGAGCTGACATTCCATCCGCTCCAAGGACTATCCCCCGTCCGCGGGACATCAGCCAGGGAGAGCCATAGAGGAATGGCGCATCCGATGAGAAGAAAGATATGAGAGATGATAACGGGGCCCCGATGGTCACGACCATCGACGTAGGGCGCCAGGAAATACGTCAATGGCCGGGATATCGGCGGAAGTTGCGAGGCTCGGAAGAGGTCTAGGAGGAGAAAGACCACCAAGACTAATGCAAGAGCCAGAGCACAGAATGCCGGATCGACATAGACCGTCGGGAGGAACATCAACACCATCATGCCGTGAAAGACTTTGCGTCTTGTGTCTACTTCCGCGACGGACCTGAGCTTGAAGACGACAACCATACCTGTCAGAAGCACAAGGATGCAATAAGCAGTGATGATCAGACGCGTATTCGCTTCGCCAAAAGTACTTTGACGAAGGTGCTCAACCCAGCCGAACGAGCAATAAGCGTCGAGGCCTTCCTCGTCCAAGCGCGCCGGTAGAGATATCCAGTGGCCTAGATTCCACATAACAACCCAGAACCTGAACCACGATATATTACCGAACAGATAGCCAAGGGCCCATCCAAACGGATCTTCTCCACCTAATGCTTGTTCACCAACGTATTTTCGAATGGGGCCGAGGATTATAACTAGTACGGCAGCGTACACGTAGAGAGCATAGAGCCACTTGCGTACTTGAGCCTGCGGTACAGTCATTGTGAGGAATGACGAGAGCCCAGGGGCCATTGATCGCTTCCGCCTGCCACTAGGGGTCGTCCGGACTCGCTCGGCGCGCACAACTTCCACAAAAGTTGAGACGGTGTGCCGCCGGCGGTGTGTGACAGTCGTATGCCGCTCAAATATCTCCTCTGTGCTCACTTTGTCCACGGCGGAGATAGGTTCTTTGATCGCGACATTGTTCCGAGTTTCCTGCATAGTCTTGCGTGATTTGAGCAAACGGCCTGGTGAGTAGTCGCTATCCGACATGGCATCTTCGGACGAAGCGGTCCGACTCAGCCTCTGGCAGACCTTGTGGTCGATCAAATTCAAAATATTCTTTGGTGACCGCGATGACCGCGATGACCTCGGGAATCGCCTGAATTTCCAGGTGGGAATCCTTGCCAGAACCACCTCCCACCGAAGGACATGGCGACAAGAGGCGAAGAGGCAGAGACCACCGAGCCAGAGGAGTGCCTTGAGTATCTTTGCTTGTGGGGAGACCGCAAATAGAAACAAATTAATCAAAGCAGTCGCCAGAAGCTGCAATTCCGCTGGAAGGATACTAGTAGTCAACAGGAAGTCTAGAGTGGGTATCAATGCTTGGTGCAAAGGAAAAACAAGAGTCAATAGCTCCGAATTCAGAGCACGAAAAGAGAGAGGTGCAGGTGTTGAGCTGTCTATGGACCAATGCTCCGAAACCAATATGGGTATCAAAGTAATGAACCAATGAGGAATGCTGTGGCCATTAACCAAACCGCGTAGAGGAACGACCGGGGCAGGTAGCGACGAGAGGCTGAGGAGGATGTTGGGTAGTATTAACGGAGGTCTATGGTGTGACAACGACAACGAGACGAAGATCGGTATTAAGATCGGATAGAGGAGAGGAGCAGGCTCAAATTTCGATGGAACTGTGAAGGAAAATAGTTTGGAGAACCGTAGGCGTCGTGTCTGGTGTAGCGGATATACCACATAGAGGACAGTCACAATGAGAGTATGAGCAAGGAGCTCTGTCCCAAATCAGTAAGCCATACTTAGCACAGACACGAGACAAGGTCAGTCACAAACCTTTTCTCCACGTCCGGGCAAACGCTCTGGCGTCGTCCTGCCATAAGACAACACCACCTACAGAGAGCAACAACGCAGTCTCTGAAAGCCTCCGGAACACCTCAATTCGAACCTTTCTGCGGGCCTTGTCTCTCAGCTTGCGTACTTCGGCTTGTGCTTCGTCCCCTGAGCTCCTCCGCGAACTTCGCGACGACGTTGACCGGGCGAATGATGGCCACGTTCGCAATGTCGGATACCATAAGTCACTATCGTCCACGCCGTTCCAGCTAGATCGAAGCCCTTTGCGTGGCCGCGGGGATGGGGCCGGTAGGCCTTTTAAGATACCCGTACTCTCATCGTCGGCTTCTGTCCCGCTATCGCTGGAGGTCTTGGCCCATTGTGACAAGTTCCGAGACGGTCGATCGCTGTGGTCTGTCAACACCGACGGTGCGTCGGCAGATTTCAGGCCCTTTCGGTGGTATGGATGGGGTGAACGAGATAATAGCCGGAGGGGATCAGCAGCAGGAAATTCGAAGTCGCTGGCGTTTCGGCCGGGAATAAGTTCGTCTTCTTCCTCGCTCAGTTTGGAGGCCATGGCGCCATGAATTGTATTCGGGAAGGTGTCTATAATAACAAATACGTCATGTCGGGTTGGGAGCGGGGAGAGGAGGTTACTGTTATAAATCAAATTATCAAAAGGGCCATCTCAATTGAAGCAGAGTATCGCTTCTTTTCACTCACGCAATTGCCAGAACAGAAGATTGGCTCGTAGCGACTGAAGCGAACGAGGCGGAGGGTTGTCGCTTGTTATCGCGTTGGACGCAGAAGGCGGAAGAGCTACTATTTATTCGCCTATCACATGCTTTTTGACTTCGACGATGTCCTTACGGTACTAGTCTCAGTAGTAGCACCACTCGAAAAGTACCTAGCACCAGCATACAGGAGGGAAAATTGTACCACGAGATCGGTGGCTAGTTCAAATTTTCTACCTTGTTGAGTCCGAATCCCTGTCAGCGGTTACATCCAGTCAACTGCCAGATTAGGTCCAGGCCTGCTGTTGGTGCGCCACGCGTTTGTCCCAACCATTCTAGGGAGGCAAAGATAGGTTCGAAATTGCGGCGCAGCCGTAGATTACCGTTTCTTACTACTGACGTCTGATCACGCTTATCTCGGATTATTATGCCCAATCAGCCTTCAAGGGCGCTCAACGGCATCATGTGGTTGTTGTATGCATGTTTTCGTGAGACGTCATTTCTTCGATTCATACTTCATCAATAGACCAAGGCGTCTATGACTCAAGGCTCTGGAAAATAATACCAGCTGCCAGCCTACGTCCCTTGTGACCCCAGACTGACTTGCAGGGGACGACTTCCCCTGGCCAGGATTCCAAGGGGAACGCCTTCGTGGTATAGATCACTGCGTGCGTTAAGGCTGAGGTTACCGTGTGGGCGGCTAGAATTTGCTGCAATGCTGACTTCAGATCGCTTTCTGACTTCTCCATGTCGGTTTCGACAATAGTGTAGCCCGCTTTCTGTTCTGTGACTGTCCTGGTGGTGCGTCCTTGGTCTGTTTCTTCTGCGTTCAATTCCAGTCCATCGCAGCGGTAGCCCAGACCTTGCCATTCAATATCACTGGCGCGAGGTAGTTCTTCGACCTGGACGGCTAGGAAGGGAGGAGTTGCTCCGCTCGATCGCAGCACTTCGAAGTTCGGTATCGGGGCCGAGACCGTCGCCTTGGTGGTTTGCTCCTGTGCCCTGCGTCCGTATTTGATGTCCCACACATCGAACATAGACTCTTCTTCGTCGACCGATTCATCGTCGCTTTGGCTGTTCATGGTCTCCCAGATGTGCCAGGCTACTCGAGCCTTAGCAGCGATGTTTTCTGCACCTGTTATAAACGCAACTGCTCCAAGCCACCAGTCGACCTGCATGGCTGCACCGATCCTCCACATGTGCTGAAGAGAGAGCACTGCCCGTAGAGAGTAGTCCGAAAGCCACGATCGTTCCTCCGTAGGTGCGCTGTCACAGACCATTTGCATAGAGGCCGGCTCTAGAGGGATCTGCCCTGCAATGTATACTACACGCTCGACTCCTCGCAGAGGAATAGACATGGCTTGCGAATACGGCCCAATGTTGGCCGGTGCCCAGTACGAACGAGACTGGACATGAAGGCCTTGCCGGGAATCTCTGTCTCCCAAATCAACAATGAATGAGACCATGACATTCACGCCCTCAGGGAGCTCATCTCCGCAGGCCACTGTGGCTCTTGCCGGGGGGTTAGGTTTCTTAAAAAGCGAGACGTAAGTGTCGTTCATCGATGCAAAATCGGCCATGGAGCGGAGCAGCACTGTAGCGAAGACAATATCCTCCGTCCCTCGAGGTACGTTAGTGGAAGACTGCAGTATCGTCCTGATCTTCCCGGCAATGCCTTTCATCTGTTCAGCTGCCTCAGTGCCTGCCTCAGGCGCTGTGATGTTGCAAATGTGCCATATCCCGCCGTTCCTCAATTGACGAGGCTCGCACTTGATACGCCCAGCGCTGATCGATCCAGCCAGCGTTTCACCTCCGTAACTTCCTGAAGCCGATTGCACATCCTCCAGAACTCGAGCAAACGCCTCATCCAGCAGCATCGGCCGTCTCACCGACTCCAGTGTGATTGCATCTCCCTCCATAGCCGTCTTAGGCACGCATCTCGCCCCTTTCAACCTCACGTACCCAACGCCACCCTCACCCGTCCGCACCTCCGTCTCGCAAACCTCAATCCTCGATCTCCAAAGGAACCCCGGCCCATCAAGCGCCAAACTCTCATACTCCCCACCCTCCCCCAACACCGCGCCCCGCAGATCCCCCGGCGCAGCAAACCGCCTCATCCCATTCACAATACGTCTCCGCAACGCCCCATCCGCCGACGACACATCCTCCCACAGAAATCTTTCATCCAACCCCCCAGAAGCAACCTTGATGATCCGCGCCTCACACCCACAAGCAGCCATATCCTCCAGTAACCCCGCATCACCCATCACAGACGACACCGCCGAGAGCGCGCTCCGCTCCGCAGGGGCAGGCAGCAGTGGGTACTGCCACAGCCAAGCAAGCGGCACAAGCCCCAGTCTCGACGCGACGTTCTCAATCCTGGTCCGCTGGTACGTGGACAAAATGGCACCAGCCGAGACGGCGTTCGCTTCGGGATGAGCCGCTTTTATCCGTCTCAGGAGGGGAACAAGCGACTCCGTCTCGTCTTGCCGATGCTGCTTGTTTTCCTCGTTCGCAGACTCAGGTTCCTCGGCCATTTGGTCTGCGGCGTTGTGCCGGTAGATACGGGAGGTGTCGACCGCGTCGCCGGTGATGGGGGCCCGGTAGAGCGGGATGCCCAGGGCGGCTTCGTAGAGCGGGATCACGCTGTGTCCGATGGTTTGGTACATGAAGCTGTCGATGTCTTCTTCTTCTTCTTCGTCTTCTTCCTTCTTGGGATCTTCATGACTGTCCTTTGCGGCGGTACTGACCGCCTGTCTGGATGTAGACGGGTACAGATTCGCTAGAGCGACCACCTTGTGTCCGTTTCTGATGCAGTGCAGGATGGAGTAGAGCGAGTCTTTGCCGCCTGATATCAAGGCAATCACGTTTAGCCCTGGTGTTGTTTGGGGAGTCTGTGTTGGTGGCGACATTGTCGCTGGAGGTTGTCCCGCTTTGCTTTGTAGCGCAGTGAGGGGGGCATCCAAAAAGCACCCCTCCTTTTGTCTTTACGTGTTCTTCAGGCGTGCTCCTTCGGATTTGAAACGGGTTATTCAGTGTGGGGAATATCAGGTGGTGATGATCTCAGATCGTCGACTACTTTAAAGCAAAGCGCTAGAATGGAAGTGCCGCAATCTGCAAAATTTTGAAAATTTGATCTACGAGGTATACATGCGAGTGCCCCATCTCAGATGTAGGCCATACAACAATTGACACCCTCACAACAATGTTGATCAAGTTAGATAATTAATGTCAACCTTGGCAATATGACATCTATTTTTCTCTTTGCTAGAGTACTGTCTTATTATCAGGCAGGAATTTCATTCACCAATTCTTCAGATTACCACTAGGACTGCCACTACAAATGGTATGCGCAACATATTATTAGGCCACAGGGGGAATAATGCAAGATATAAATAAGTTCAATAACAGCGAGGGAGGTAATACACACAAGGGGTATGAGATGGGTGAGAAATGACTGCTAAAAGGCAGATTAGATGGTACATGTGGCCAGCACAGTAATGAAGGGGGAGAAACGAAAGCATGTGCAAAAGATATTACATCGAATAAGTCACAAAGAATGCAAGATGAGAGAACAGTATATGAAAAAGATGAACAGGCGAAAGTTGGAAAGGCTGCAGGCCTCCAATGCTTCGCAGTGAAGAATCAATAAAAAGACAGAGAAGGAGAAAGGTGAGAAAAACGAATAGTGCCCAAGTCAACCGTCCGCGCCAGAAAATGATAGGTATCGTCATGCGCTCTATTGATTTTGGTCCAGTACCCTGGACTCCGAAGTGCGCCCAAGCTCGATTGCTGTCCAGGCAGCCCAAAGCCTCCGTCCTTGTAAGAGCAAGGAGCTCGTATGCCTGGATCCTTCCCCTCTTATAACCCACCGATGCAAACAGTCCTGACGCCAATCCAAGGAAATGACCAAGCCAGATCCACCCAGCCCTGATGTGGAAGAATGATTAGGAAAGTATATTAAGTATTAGGAGAGCTCCTGGTCTCATCGCATCATTATAGAGCTTCTAGTAGTCTCGCGAACGGAAGTTCAGACGTGGTCGTCCCGTCGGCGCTTCTTGGCAGGCCGCCCACCGACGGACGACGTGTCTGAAATAGTTCCGTCAGATGACTCGCTCGTTGTCGACTTGCTCGTTGCGGCGTTGGCGGCCTCGTACAGAGCGAGGCCCAGAGCCCGCGGCTCAGGCTCATCGAACGCGGGTTGGGTGTTCGAGCCGTTTGTGTCGATAACACCCATCACAATGGAACCACCACCGTGAGTCCTGGCATGCTGAGCAAGGTTGTCGCTGCGAGAGAACTTCTTGCCGCATTCATGGCACTCAAACGGCTTGTCCTGAGTGTGAAGCGAGCGGTAATGACGCTTCAGGTGCTCCTGACGGCGGAAACGACGAGAGCAGAGCGAGCAGACAAAGGTCTTCGAGGGGTCATCGGTCAAGGATTGCTTGCGTCCGCGACGGTTGACAGAGACAGGAGCAGCTGGGGACCCAGAGCTGGATGTATTGGCGGTCGAGTTCTGACGAGAAGAAGCAGTCGACTGCTGGACTGTGGAAGTCGTCTCAGAGTGACCAGACCGGCTGGTGGCGGAAGCCTGAGTCTTCTTGGCAAGGCTATCCGAGCTGCTCTCCGACGTGCTCGCCCTCTTAAGCGACCTGCGAGAGGTGACTCTCTTCTTCGAGCTCATTTCCTCGGTGTTCTGTGTAGCATCACCCTCGGCTGCGAGAAAGTCAGAGGACTCCACGGAAGGAAGACCGGATTGGGCAAAGGCCTCTTGGTCGTCCAAATCTTCCAAGCTGCGTTCACTCAAGAACTCGTCCTCATCAAGGAGGTATGTGCCCAGGCGTTGCCGTTTATCTCCCAGGAAGTAGGTGTTTCCAATAGGATGGAAGTCGACGAGCTTGTTGGCAAACTCGTCCTCCGAATCAAGGTCGGAGAAACTGTCGAAAGTGGGCAATGAACCGAGAGGATCCTCGGAGGAGCTCGAGAATGAAGGCGACAAGCCCTCGTGAACCGGCAATGTCACAGTTGCGCTACCCAAAACCACCTTAGGTTCCTCCTCATTGCAGGAAAGAGTAGGCAATGGCGGTAGCTCTGCAGGTGCTCCGACTGACGATTCGACGGTAAGCTGTCGAGGGTCGCAGAAGTCGGATCCAGAGGGCTCAGCTGAGAGAACCGACTGAGGATGAGAGATGAAAGTTGTCGAGTCCGGAGAGGGCGATGGAGAAAGGGATGGGCAGGACATATGAGCCGATAAGAGATCTGAGCTCTGGCTGGCGGTGAGGGATGGTGGTTGGATAAACACTGGAACGGGTTCAGTTAGCCCCTGCTTAGCCCTAGATTCTCCCCAAACACAATCCCCGCAACATGATCTTTTCAACACATGCGTTCCATGTACAAAGACTAAAAAGGGAACAAAACACTAGACTGTACACCCGAAAATCTTTAACTCACCAGGTGTCAAAGGAGGCGAGTCAGACCGCGACCAGCCGGTGTTGGCCAGGAGCTCACAGTGAACATCGCTCTCGCAACCTTCCTTCACCCCTTCCACCTTCTCAAATGAGAAGAAGCAATCATTGATTGGGGTGTGAAGAGAGCCATTGCTGGACGGGGGGCTGCTGATAGTGCTTCCAGATGTGGACAGCGGTGGGGTCGAAGGGAACCCATAGAAGTCATTGCTAACGAATCTCGTGTCCAGAGGCATGAGAACTGGAGAGTCCTGCTGCTGCACGATGATGGTAGGCTTGAGATGGGTCGGCTGTGGGGAGGCAATGGGAGTCATGCTCAGGGCACCTCGGAAGGCATTGGTTGTGGCCATCTGATGCATGTTCAACATAGGTTGAGCAGCGTAGACGGGCTGTTGTTCTGGCATGCTGTGCTGTTGCTGTGGGTAAGGCGGCACTTGTCCATAGTACTGCATCTCGGACGGGTGACTGGTGAAATGTTGCTGCCGCGATTGCGACTCTGTTGGGTAGTATGCAAATGATGGCTGTCCCTGCACTGGGGTCTGTGCCATGGTGTATGTTGCGTCCATTGTTGTGGGTTACTGTGTCTGACTGTGAACAGGTGTTAGTTATTGTACCGCAGTCAGGTAACAGTGGTGAGTCAGGAAAGCCACGAACAGATGATGAAGTCGACCAGGACTCAGAGGAGATGAAGCTCGAATCCTTGCCTTGCTGTTTGCTGATTATGCTATATGTATAATTGACCTGTATGTGTCCTCCAGTGCGATTGTTTGGCGATGTCGCAGCTCGACGAAGGGTGACGAATATTAGGCGACAATACTGGAGATGAATGAGTGTATATAGAGGGAGTTGTCTCTTCTTTTGAATGAAGGAATGACTGGAGGGATCGACAGTTGGATCTTCCTTCCCAGCCTTGGATACTGATGTTATATCCAACGTAGACGAGTGTCTGAAGTCTGTTAAAGGAAAGACAGGGACCTCTTTTCGATACGAGCCAAACCACAAGATCTATCTATATGATTTGGAACGCTCTCGATCAAGGCACCGGGAGACAGATAAATGACACGGGAACAGAAAGAGAGATATAGGAAAGGGCAAAAAGAAGGCAAAAGGTTAAGTAGTAAAAGAAAGATAAAAAGGAATGGCACGAAGGGAATTAGAATCTAGAAAGGGAAAGAGTAAAAAATAGTTCAGAAATCCATAGAGAATAAGAAGAAGATCAATGCAATGGAGACTAAGCTTGAGTACAGTACAGAGAGGAAACTGAAAGTCGCGGGGAAATAACGAGAGACAGGCCAGGCCGATAACTATGGGACGAGGAGCGACGGCTGGAAGGGGTGGGCAACAGAGTGGGCACTGGGCAGTGGATAAACTGAGCGACTGATCTGCCTGTGCTACAGCTTCGTAGCGCAATTGGTAGTGGCTTCTTAGTCGTACTTTTAGTTCTAGTATTGAAGTACTTAGTTTCTCTCTGGAGGTGCACATGTGGGAGTAGTGGCTTGTACTGAGGTGGTGCCAGAAAATAATCCTATTTTAATGATTTAATAGTAGTACTACATTAAAAAATAAAATAAAATATATTAAAATAAAAAGAAAAGCAATTTTAAAATACTGTACCATTATTAGATATTATTATTATTAGCAGTATTTTTATCCCACCCTCCCACTCCAAAGTTCCACCACTCCTAATAAAATACCCAGGAGATATGGTGTCATAACGGGACATGAACCAGACTCTTAAATGATCTAAATTTTGTTCCTGTATGCGTGAACCACTAACAGGGTACCTGACCTGATCCAGTATTATTATTCCGTCGGGAGGGTACCGTGCTGATTTCCAAACTTTTCTCGCCTTCGGTTGCAACACTACAATCTGGGGCTGGAGATATGCACGTCGCAGCCTACAAAAGATCAGAAATGCAAAACTCACTTTTCCTTCAGATAAAAGGTCTACCGGCCAGTTACAATTGAAACCTCAGAAGCGGAGACCCGTGGGAGGTGGGACTGGTTGTTCCCATATAGGTAGGTATGCAGATAGTCTGAGGGTTTTAGCAAGAGCCTTTCAACCTCGCCATCGCGACGGGAGACCATAATGATAGTTCGCCTTCTCCAATTGACCCAGATACTAAGTTGCAACGCAAAATGTTGTGCTCTTCCTCAATTCGGACACTTATGGGTAAGATCAACTACCCTAGACAGACCGGTCGGAGAGTCAGCGACGGATCCCGGTCTGTAGACCTGTACTAAAGAGCAATCTGCCCCACCAACTTCGGCCGGGGAACCCAAAAAGGTCTTAGTGAGTGGCGCTCAAGAGCACGAGTAGGAAACATTAGTTGGATTTGGGCCAGTCCCAGGCCCTGTTGCGAATGGAAAGTTGGCTTCGATATTAGTAGTACGTAGTTAGATTGTTACAGGAGATACATGGTACTAGAAGGCAGAGTTGAGGGTGTATCCTACCGGGAAATGCGGGGACTTCTTACTTGCTGTCTTTCCACCAAGAGATGGACGCCTTGTCTCACCGTACACACCAGCCAACAGAAGGGGCGATAAATACAGTTAGTGGTCGGCAAATACCGCAGCGGCGCAGCACTGTCTGAGGGCAGTGGAGGGACCTAACCTATGGGACTTGAAATGTTGACGAACGCCGTTGTCACCGTGATAGTCTTGTCTCATGTAGGAGTATCTGATGGAGATCAATGATTGGCGTGGTCAGAAAAATTGGACTGTGAATTGCCACTGTCCCCCGAGACCTCAGCTTCAATTGACAGTAGGGAGATACGCAGTACTACTGATGGAATTTGAAAATGCTCATATTGTCTCTCCCTCCACGCCCAAAATGGTTGCCTCCAGTAAAGAACGATAATTCAGTCCTCCTTCAAGCCAGCTGACACGCACATGCTGATAGAACCATTTCTACGCCCACCTCTGAGGATTAACGTTTTCAGCTTCGTATGGTCTTTTTCTGCAAGAACTGACTTTGAGGGTCCCCATTTGCCAACCTTAGTCTCGTTCCAACGGAGCACGCATCAACTTCAGCTTATCAGTGGACTATTTCCCATGGGTTTGGTGACTGGGAGCGCTTGGGGTCCAGCCAGTCACAGAAAATCCTGGGAGGATGGGTTAAGTGGGGGCGCTCTTCCTCATGCGCAACTTTGCAGGAACCGAAAACGTGATGTGGCAGATTAGCGGAGTGGTAGTAACTCTTTTTGACGCCGCGCTGATACTGGTTAGCTAGAATGCTAGATAGAAAGATAGTAAGTAGTGATAACCAAGGGCTTTACCTAAATTGTTCAGGGTGGTCCATCCCACAGATTTGAGCCGGTCAACCTATCAGGAGATGGTATGGTTTCTTTTCCACTTCGATTCAACCAGAAGTTGGCGAGACTAAGTGCGCTCGAGCTGCATTGAAAGCCAATGGACTCTACCCGTGATGGGAAACATTGACTCGCCCGGCTAAGCTAGACGGCCCCGCTGGCATATCCCGTCCGCCATTTGGGGAACCCCATCATTCCAATCAAAGAGACAAAACAATCCACAAGCAGATCAAATGATGAAAAATGGTAACTTGATAGTGTTCAGAGAACAGGAGATCAGCATTGCAAAGTTCCAACGGGATCAGCAAGCGGGTAGTTTGACGCGGTTACATAAGGGCAAAGTCATCATCAAGCCAGTCGCTAATCAGCATCAAATCCCCGTGCAACAGCAATCTGCCTATCTAAATTTCAGCGCTCTGCTCTGATTGGTTCAAACTGTGGCCACGTCGCTCAGGACTTTCCTTGGGTTTCGGGAACGAACAATTGCGCATAGTCTGCTTCTCGAATGACATGAACCCAATTTACGTCAGTAATATAAAATGTACTCTACCTTAAGAGGCATGATTGATTACTAGAGCAGTGGTGAAACGGTAGCGAACAGGGTCCACTGCCGCGGAAGTGATGGCATGTTCTTCCAGACCGACATTCATATCGTCCTATTTGCTCTGAGTCTGAGAGAGGCAAGAGGCATGTATGATTGTGTGTACATGCATTCAAACTACATCAATATGCGATCCATATTTTCATATGCCGCAGTCAGATCCCGAATTGTTTAGCGGAATACTACTGAGCTCATCCCGAAACACCATGGTCAATAGTTACATTATTTAATGGAGAATATGTAGATAGGCACTGGTGTGCAGCTTATATGCTTGCCAAGGAATAGTCCGCCAAAGTATTGAACCTACTGGCCTACTTTTTCTCCGTATGGTAAGAATTGTCGGTTGTCGACCACTCTTGAGACTGATTTTCTGGGGAAAGAGAGAACTAGAAGGCCGGACAAAAACTTTCTTTTGGGGTCTGAAATTTGAGAGGTGTTGATAGGCAGTTAGACATGATAGTTGTAATTGTAAGGTGGTACCTTAGACACTGTTGCATATCATGTGAACAAAGAGCTGCCTCGGAAGTGGAGTGCTTGGGCCTCAGGCACTGTTAGCCTAAGTTTGGGATTCGACCTGTTAAACGGCAGATGGATCAAGTTTGGTCGGGCTACTGCAGGAACAAATGCGGAGAGGCCTTGGAAGGGAAACATACATATGTCAACCCTTGCTTGACCAGATGCAAGCTCTTGCTTTGTTCTGTGATATCTATACATGGGTGACTAAGGTATGTACAGTAAGTACTCGTCCACTCAAACTCTTCGTCTGTATGTACCTCTCTAGATTTAGATTTAGACCAAAATGTGGCTGTCAAATCAATGATCTCTGCTTGGCTGCCTCATTATTCCAAATCCTTCTCATGAATGACCTCATCTATCTAAGAGGACTGTCTTCGATGCCGCGACACTGCCGCAGAAACGCGTGATGTTTGCTTCCTTATCAAATACAGCTAAATCCAGCCACCAGGACTGAATTTGGGATTTGAAAGTCGATACATAAAGATCCGCATTCACCGCCTCCACCTCAAGAGAGCTGTCATGGACTCATGATTAACGCAACTGAAACATGATGGCCGCAGGATTACTGTTTAAGGCTCAGATGATGAAATGATTTACAGTGCATAGCAAAGTGACAGGACAGAACCACCAAGCAAGGGACTCCAGAAGAGCTGTCATATCTTCATGTCAAAACTGACATATACTTTGGATCCAGTGAGGAAAGCAAAGCGAACAAATCGCAAACCCCCATTTTGCCACCCGAGACAGTGCAGACTATTACTCCGTAGGGTAGTCCCACATGCCTCTTCTCCAAGGGTACCTGACATATCTGTGTAACACAAATGAAAGTGCTGGGACGAGTTTCTGGTTGATTTCTCAAATCTACCTTATGATTTGAGGTTTCCCACGTACAGACCGCACAGTCGGGTACCTTATTGAGTGACTGATTGAGAAATGAGACGCCAGGCTTCCAGTACCCAAGGGAAATGCTGGACATCGGTTAATGTCCATTGGATAGTCTAAAGATAGAATCAGACTTTATTGGTCGACCCCTGACGTTTAATGACGGAAAGGAAAGCTTCCGGGGGCCGGAACGGTCCCCCGGCTGTTACCCAATTTCTAGCGATAACCTGACGTTCAAACATGGGCCAAAAAAGAT